CGTAAGTCTGATTGCTTTGATACTATTCATATTGTTCATTTTCTAATGATGTCTTCAGTTCTTTAATTGAAATGTGCATTGCTAACAGCGGAGCTATCTCAGCCGATAGGCTGCTTGTTTTTATATAGACTGGCCAGAATTAAATATGTATATATAGATAGATTATGTTTAAGCATAAATCACCAGCTCCTCCCTTGGCCATGTAATACTTCAATCATTAATGAACCGTGTATGTCAGAATAATTTTACTACTGGCAGTATTTTTGCCTTGAATCGTCAGATGTAAAATGTTATTTCACTTTGTTATCTAACTTTACATCTCCATGGTAGTACAGATTTTAAATTATTTCATTGTATAATCGGGGGGGGGGGGTACACTGTTTTTGTTATGAATTTTGTATTCTTCAAAAGATTGATATTGCTGTATAATAGCTTCCTATTTGTGCTGGTATATGTAATTGTTTAATTAATAAAGATACATATATTGTGTAATTCTGTCTTTGTAATTTTATTTGAACCATACTTTAATCCTACACAATAATGGCTTTACTGTAAGCCAAGACAAAATATGTTGTTAAATCTTGTTCTTCATGTCATGTCATTTCATTTCTCAATTGTTGACAAAGCTTGTATTATCTAATTTGGTGTACTTTAGTAAAATCTGAGGATTATTCCCACATTTATATGCATAGGATTTTGCTTGACTGAGAACTCTTCTGGGATATAAAGTTCAACTGGGGCTATAAGTATATACTGCAAGATGTATTGCAGGAAAATTTACATCTCAAATTAGAGTAGTAGAGCTTTGTCTGACTTGAAACCAATCATCCCAATTACCTACTATTGTATATTTCACATGCCTTGAAGGTCTGAAAACTATTGTGCACACAATTTTTTCAAATTGAATATGCAACACACTAACACTCTATTGTGTAAATGTACTTTGTCCCTGTATATTGTCATTGTTGTATGCTATTTTTTAAAATTTCTAGGGGTAATCAAAATTTAATGTTTACCGGTAATCACACTACTGCTGTCATTTCTCTAAAGAGAATTTAAAGACCCAGCCTCAACTATTAACTATGCAGCTATCCTCCAGCATTGTTTGAATTCCTGAACTGTCTAAACAAGCTGACAAACCTGTGTTTACAGATGCTTTATGTTTAATACATGTATGCCTTTATGTGCTACAGGGAGGCACACCCCTGCAGTGTCTACCCTAGCAATGACAAGAAATCTTTGACAACATACATGTATGTGAATGATAAATTGAATATTTTACGTAACACAATGATGAGCTGACAGTGGTCTTTCAAATTGATGAATAACTAGGTGGGCTATCCACAAAGATTCCACACATGGACATGTGGAAGTGCATCACCAGGTATCCAATTCCTAGAACAAACCACTCCCTCTTTAAAATGGAAGGCATTCCAAAAATGTGTTTAATCAACTTGTTGAGTGCCAGACTAGATGTGGAAGATTGTCACATTTCAAATAATAAAGATGCTGGTACCTATATCATGAAGACGTGAAGTTGAGTGTGCCAGGCATGTAGACATCAGTTGAGTGTGCCAGGTATGTAGACAGCAGTTGAGTGTGCCAGGCATGAAGACATCAGTTGGGTGTGCCAGGCATGTAGACATCAATTGAGTGTGCCAGGCATGTAGACATCAGTTGAGTGTGCCAGGCATGAAGACAGCAGTTGAGTGTGCCAGGCA